TATCTCGATATAGTGTCACAATTAATTTAAGAGTTTCCCCAACACTCTGCCTGTACCAGTATACTTTACTGCTGATGTCTTTGGATATATCACACTTTAAGGTTGCTGGTTCACCAAGCTGAACCATTTTCACTGGAACCAGAGCATCTGAGTTAAAACACAACAGCATTTTGTATTAGGTTAAAATGTTTTCAAAATATTATTATAAAAATATTATCGATAAATGCTCACAGATGTATTTGACAAAAATAATCCAGTTTCAGATTTATGTACAGAATAAATTTGCACTTACCTCCTTGATGAAGAAGAAGCAACATCATCCATAACAGCACCATCTTGACACTGCTCCTTCTTGGGGGTTTTCAGTAAGTTAAGTTGGGGAACTGAGCGTGTTGGGTTGGATCATGAAAGGAATTTGATTGGTTAACACAGAAGAAACTCAAAAGTACACTCCCTGTGTACACTCCCTAATCTCATCTGTTTCTAAAGCATATTATCTTTTTATTCTCTTTGTTCACTTTTCATTTTTGATTGTCTGGTTTAGTATTGCAAGAAATGCATCAAATACCTCAAGCTCTGCACTTTAGAGGAATGTTGAGTTTAGGGGCATTTTGTGCTTTAGCAGTGTTGAGGCCAGTGTTGGGTGTAATGCGTTACTGTAATTAAATTACTTTTCCACTGAAAAAGTAGAGTAACTAATTAATGTTCATTTTTAGGTATTTTAATTACAGTTGCTTACAATGTACTTGTGTTACATTGTAAAATAATTAAACTCGCTGAATATCATTATTTAATTTCAATAATTTATCTTCTAAACGTAGAAGTAAACTTTCTTTTTCAAAGTTCCACAGCAGTTGACAGAATCAACTATTTGGGATTTCCTGACCTGGACGTGTGAGCATGCATCAAGACATTTAGTAATGCATGTACAGTACCGTGCAAAAGTCTTGAGCAGCAGTTCCTGTCTTTATATTTCTCTGGGAAATATAGTACATAAAGCAAAAACAGTTTGGACAATTCTGATGAGCTTGAACGTGAATATTTGATATATTCAACTTTATTCTTATATTGTTTTTCTTCTTCTTTCTTGTATATTGCTTTCTTTACTTTCACAACTTTGTGGTTTTGCTACCTAATTTCATTGTGCAAGCAACTGTACATTGACAATAAATCATCCATATCTGACAGCCGTTTTCTGCAATCATTTAATTTTCTCCAAATCGTCTCCTAATATGGACGAATGCTGGCTGTAACCTCAAGGAAGAAACTGGGAAGTGTTTTTAAAATGTGGAGTTAAATTTGTTAGAAAATGCATTAACCCTTTAAAGCTGGTCGGAGCGG